TGCCGTACACTGTCTACTAGTTATTCTGGCGTCTGTGTCCTTTCATTAAATGCGCCGCATGGTAAGCGATTAAAACGACCGCCGAGGCAGCAAATCGAATTAATTTTTGTAACGTGCAAATGACCGCATCAAGCAGCAGCAGCAGCAGCAGCAGCAGCTATAGCTGCTGCAGCATTAAGAGCTGTTTGATAGGGATACTCATACGTATTAAATCCTTTGCCGCACAACACATTTAAGTTGATGATTAAGCTGGCCGCTTTATACCATATGTACCCATATATATGTTCCATATATATATATTGTATATAGGTACATGTATGCGGCATTGCAACTCTTTATGTATGCAGAAGTATGTGTACATTATATACTTAAGCACATAAAGATGTAATGACCTGTATACATGACCGCCGCCACCGCCACCACCACCACCACCATCAGCAGCGACAGCGGCAGCGGCAGCACCACCAACACCAGCGATAGTATCGAATCCTTTGGAGCGCGCTTTTGGTCGCCGCTTAATAAACTACACGAGTCAAAGGGGGGCCGGTGTGGGCGGAATGATTTTTTTAAATTCTCTTAATTGAAACTGCGCCAAACGAACAAGGATGCAGCAGCAGCAGCAGCAGCAACGGCAGCAGGAGGAATCACAGCGTTGATCGCTGCCAGCAGGCATATTTTAATGAATATTGAGGATTAAAGGAATTTGCGGATATTCATTGAATTATGCATTTTGGCCTCTCTTCCTGACTGCGGTCACCAGCACCACCAGCACCACCAGCACTAGCAGCAGCAGCAGCAGCAGCAGCAGCCAGGACCATTCGACAGGACCATCATATATTTCTTTGTCGCACGCGATGATTTATTAAGTCATTAGCACTTGTGCGGCTGCTGTTGGCGGCTGCCCACGCAAAGCTTGCAGCATGCAGTGGGATGCAGCAGGCCGGTCGTGTTCATGTGTATGTGTGTGGGCTGTATAACTTGTAATTCTTATTAATTGTGTGTTGTTGCCGCTGCTGCTGCTGCTGTTGCAGCGAGTGTGCGAGTGCACGAGTCTGTGTGAGAGTGAATATTCAATATTTTCCCCTGGCTGGCGTCGTAGCGGCTGCTCATTAAGGCACAGGACATTAACTGCTTAACCAAAGTTAAAACCATCTGCAGACATACATTTCAAATTATGATATTCACTTCTGTTTTATACTTGCGTCCGTACAGATATTGTACATGCGTTCCAATCACAATATCCTTTCATCTATCTATCTATTCATCTATATATATTACCATAAACCAATACCTATACGCATCTACATATAACCACATTTTTCTTCTCGAAACCAATATCCTGAACCTATTGAAAATGAGTAAAGATAATAATATTTTTGTGAAAATGTAGGCAGTAAGAAGTAGCTCCAACCCTATAAAGCATATATATTCATGATCAGCATCACAAGCCGAGTCAATCTAGTCATGTCCGTCTATCGATTCGTGTATCCGTATAGATGAACGCATCGATCTCAGAATCATAAGAGCCTGTTTCAAGTGAAGAATAGAAACTTCAAATGGTACGAAAAGTGCCAAAATATTTCCATTTTTGTATTTAAGTATAGGACAGACAGTGACAACCGTGATCTTACCAACCAGAAAACTTATAAATAAATATGAAAAATGATAATTGCCAAGTTGCCTGTGATTCCTTAAGTGATTTGATATATATATATATATATATATATATATATATTTTATTTTACTATTGAATTAATAATTTTTAATGTTAATATTAACATTATCATTATTTGTAACCACGTATGCTCAACTTTTCCAAATATGGTGCTATTTTAAATTCAGTCTTATATGGCGTACTGGACACTGATGCATATTATTTGGACATTTTTTGTTACTTTAATTGTTCTTGGGATTGTTTGAGCCAAATGCGACAAATTATAAGAATTTTGCATAAGCTTAAAGCCAATTTCGTAAGCCATTTAAGAAGGTTAAGGTCAGATTTCGAGCTCGGTTGAAGTTTGGGCTACGTCTCGGGAATTGAGCTCATTGGGCGCGATATGTGTTGTGTGGATAATGTGTGTGTTTGTGTGTGTGCGTTGGTGTGTAGCAGGGAATTGAGGCAGAGTCTGCTGTGCTACGGAGAATGTCAGAAATGCGTGTGAAAAATAAACGAGATTTTCGCAGCGCGCTTTTGATATTTTTGCATGACAGAAGCCAAATGAGAAAATGCGATTTTCCGCACAGCTCCGGCCAATGACATGAGCATGGATATGCCGGCAATGGCCACCGACAGCCGCCAGGCCATGTCCAATGGCCTACCAACTTAATGTGTTGGCGTTTCCTGGCACAGACACACATACACACACGCACACACACACACACGCAGGACCATACAAATGCGCAGTCACATGATGAGCCCAGTCACAAAGACAGACGCACAGATAATTTTTACAATTTGCAGCAATGCGTTTTTAATTTAAATCGATAAAAGTTGCATTCGCACAAAAACAAACCAGACGAAATCAACAACAATAACAACACAATGCAAAATAAATTGCAAGCAACTCCCAGCACACTCTCCACCTCAGCGGCCCCAATAGCAGCACCAGGCTCAGCTCCATATTCAATCAGTTATGGACTCCATGCAATTATGTATTAGTCGGAAACAACTTTTTTCACAGAACAAATTGATATAGAAATTTCAAGTGCCTTTCGTCTGAGTGTCGATTTACCGATCATTTGGAATGATAACCTGACTGGTATATTAACAAATTCCCAAAGAATTCGTACTAAAAACTCTGTAAAATTATAATTTTGCGCAAATTAATTAAACAGCTGAAACAAAATCTCATTAATGCCCTGGACGACAAATCAATGCACGGAGATCATATAAAAAATGTTATTTTTTGTTACTATTTTTAACAGAGGAAATCTCTTTAATTGAGGCCTTTCTAAGCTGCATGAAATTCATTAATTGGCTAATGCATGGCAGCGGGAGCATAACTGCGCATTAGCAACAAATATATGTATGTATTTAAATTAAATATAATTTAATTAAACATTATGTATGGAGCAGGCCGACGGAATGCAATGCAACAAAATGTGTTGCCTACATTTGAGCGCCGGCTGCGCTGGCCATGATATCGTTATCCATTTTGGTTGCTGTTGCTGTTGTTGTTGCAATTTTATTTTGTTTTTGATTTGACTGGCCCTGGCATGCATACAGACAACCACACATGCACACGCACACGCACGCACACATGGCTGTGTGTGTGTGTGTGCTCTTGTGCATTTGTGTTTATTTTATTTTATTATTTTTTCTCTTTTGCGGTCAACGAGTTGGTTGACCACTTTCAAATACAGTCAAAGCCAGAGCCACGCCCACATGCACGCCCACGCCTCGCACAAAAAAAGAATAACAAACAACTTGAGTGGTGAGTTCGTATGATCCCCTTCCCCCTCCCGTTCCCGTGCCCGATCCCGTTGCCATTGCTGTTGTTGTGTGTTGATTATATGCACAATATTTGTTGCCTACATTTTATTTGTATTTGCTTTTTATTTTTATTTATTCCTCAGTTTTTTGCCTGTTGTTCTTTTTTATTTGTTTTAAAATATATCATGTTGCGTGGATTTTTTTTTATTTTGTTGCTTCTCTTGTTGTTGTTGCCAGCCTACACAGTTGATTTAAACGTTTTACACCGGCGTGCCAATTTTGTTGCGCCCTCTCCCGCGGTTTGCTCGTTGTTATTGCTTTTTTCTTTGGCTTTTTTTATTTTTTTGTTGAGTTTTTTTTTATTTTTTTAGTTGGTTGACCGTTGGGTTAACCGTTGAATTATCAATTTCGCGGTAGAACTTGCGGTGCATAAGTGCGGTTCACCGATGAGTTTTCGAAGGTATCATATTAAACGGACTGCTGCTGCTGCTTTATTCATTTTTTTTCTTGCTTTTGTTGTTGTTTGTACTTGATTTTGTTGGCCGTCTGTCAGCCCGAAATGAAAACGTTAAATTTTAATTAATTACATTAAGTAAAAATGGTTCATTGCGTCCATTTCGCGTTTGCATATTGACATGTGAAGTGGGTCATTAAATGTTTATCTGAATGGCTTCAACATGAAATAACATGCATACTTTTTATTATTATTTGCTTCGATCACTGCGTTAATTGTTTGGCTAACGATTTTTGGCAATCTTCGCGCTACACTTCTATTAACAAGGCACAATTTGTACAAAGAACACGCAAAATCCAACAACAGGATTGAACCTTAGTTCGTCAAAAACCTTTAATTATAGTTTTTAGCTAATTTATACATTACTTCTATCTTAGAGGCCAAGCACTTTACGCAAAGAAAAATCATTTAAATATTTATTTTGAAATTCGTAATTCATCACTGATCCAACACACAATATGGCAGCCATATGCTGCCCAATGCAATGGTAAATATATAGTAACATATAATATACAAATACATGATATATATCTATAAAGGCATTCCAATGTATTAATAGCACCAACTGTCGAAATTCTTTAGTTTGATGTGACATATGTGAGAAATAAATGTTATTTAAGTTATTTCGACTGCGGAAATTTTGTGGTAAGACAAAAATCAACAGAGCAAAATCTAATTCTAAATGTGCCCACTCTTTTTTTGTAATGTTGCGTAAAGGAAAAATTAATAAAATTAAACTAAAACTGCTTTTAGTGAAATATTTAACAAATTCCAAATTCATAAATCTCAATAAAGAAACACTTTCTCTAAATAAAAGTAGTTGAGCTAATATTTTCAATTTTTAAACACACATAAAGTCCTATTGATTCACTTAAAATAAGTATAACTAAATTATTTAAAAATAAATTGAGATAAGAGAAAAGTGAGCTTGAACAACTGTCTGCACTCAATATAAAGCCCGAAATTAATTTTACAAAGTAATTTCTTAGTTCTCAACTTTTTGCATGCAATCGAACGATTGTAAGTGAAAATTATGAAAATAGGAAAACTCACCTTAAGACAGGAATTTGCTGAAGTTGATTGATGCTGTTGCCGCGTTTGATGCGTTGCAAATTATTTAATTATGGCAAATTTGATACTTTACTTGAAATATTTGTGACTGCTGATCTGTTTGCAGGCACTGTATGTAGTTGCAGTTGTTGTTGTTGTTGTTGCCTTTGGCTGATCAGGCCACCAAGAAATCAACATTTATTAACGACACACAAACACAAAAAATTGCACACACAATTGCGTTTATTATGGGAGACAAAAAAAAAATGGAAATAATATTAAAATTGTAATTAATATCGACGACTGGCGATGAACGATTGACGGTTTAAATTGAATTGAATTGATAGTCGCTTTATATTGTTGCGCTTACGAATATGTACGACTAATCAAATAGACGACAATTGAACGCCCGGAGCGGAACGGAAACGCGGCCGGCGAGTTAGTGGTCAGAATGCAAAGTGACACATGGAGCTCCAGCTCCAGATGCTGCTGCTGCTGCTGCTGTTGTTGATGATGATGCTGCCGATGCTGCCGATGCTGAATTTGCCGTTGCCGTTGCTGTTGCTGCCGATGCCGATGCCAATGCGGATGCGGCCAATGGTGCCCCGTGCTGGCTCCAACTGCATTCGGCAATACGAAGCCGCTTTGAGCGTGCCCGATTTGTGTTGCGCCCGTATTGTTGCACTTGCCGAACGGCCCTAGCCCCGTGCCCCACACACCTGAAACACAGCGCACGCGACCAACGAGAAGCTCACGAACAATGTACGAGAAACGAGCACGACGAACTGCAAAGCGCCGAAGTACGAAGCTGTATGCCACACGACCAGATCAAGTCCGTGTCCGTGTCCGTGTCCGTTAATGTTGTCGAGTTGCTGCTGCTGCTGCTGTTGTTGCTGTTGTTGTTACCGTTGTTGCTGTGAAGTTGCTGCTGCTACATGCGTGCGCTTTGAACCGGTTAACAGCACAATTGCAAATGATAACACGCACACAGAATGCTCGGTGAAAATTTTCGAAATTTTCACACAAAAAACTTTTCAAATTTTCAAAGCAGCGGCGACGCCGCATCAACGTCGCTCTGTCTGTCTGCCAGCCTGTGTATGCGTGTGGGCGTACATACAGGAGACTCACACACACACGCACACAGGCGCACAGGCACACGCATGCCGAGCCGCAACACATGTGTGTGTTTTGGTTTAAATAACTCAAAAGGGAAATTGAGTTTGAGCGCAAAAATGTTGAGCGAGCGCTCCCGAACGGATTACATGTGTGTGCTTACAGATTTATGCAACAATTAAAAGCGACGATAAATTTATATGTGTGTGTTTGTGTGCGTCTGTCCGTGTGTGTGTGCGCGCGCGCCTAGACTGTAAACGGAAACGGAAACGCAACCAAATGCTCAGCAATAACCACGAATGGACTAGCTTTGGTCAGTGCTGGCAGCTCAAACCTCCGCTCGCTGGGAATTTGACTCCGCAAAAAACACAAAAAATATATTTAAAAAAAAGGCGCGCGCGAAGAAAAGCCAAAATTTTTGGGAAATTAAATGAGCACTTGTGTGTGGACGAAGGGGTAAGGGACGTAAGGGGCACGTTTGGGGCACGCAAGCAGGCATTGGGGCACTTTAAGGTCAACCCCTTTTGCTTTTAGCTGGTCACTTGGTCAAGGGTTGTGCGCCGCTCGCTCAACTCATCAACATAAACTCATTTCCCTGTTTTCAGTTACAGTTTTCACTCAGTTTGGCCGGTCTGAAAATCAGGTTTCATTTCTACACAAAATACATAAATGTTGCATCATTATCAAACGGGTTGTGCGAGCGCACAGCCAGAGAGATGAGAAAACCACCCAAAAACGCCGCCCACATGGTCGACGGAGGGGGCAACTGTTTGGCAAATGAAGCGAGATGGCTATATTAATGTGTGCGCCAGTTGTGTGTGTGTGTGTGTGTGTGTGTGTGTGTGTGTGTATGTGTGTGGCCCACATGAGCGAAGTGCTCATTATCATAAACAACAACAACAGCAACAAAACAGTAGCAACAGCAGCAACGGCAACGGCAACCATCCACCAACAAATTGTTCGCTGCAACATTTTACATAATATACAAGAAACATTCAGAGCTTAAACCTACACGCTCGCGTCTACATACATATATGCATATATTTATATATATATATATATAAATATATATCGCCATAGTTTGCAGATTTATACATATATACATCCATACACACACATATACATATGTACAGTCGCATGCATACTTAGAGCATACAAAACGCCGCTCAAACTATATACAACTTAAAAGCTGAGCAGAGAGTTGAGAGCGTCTGTATGTCTATGTGTGCTCGTGTGTGTGTGTGTGTGTGTGTGTGTGTATGTGTGTGTGTGTGCGTGTTGTAGTTTTGCATATAAAATGGATTTTAAACTATTGGGAAAACTATCGCATAGCCAGCGCCATTTGCCGCATTAGTTTGTAGCTGCGTTTCGACTTGAAACATTGCGGGTAGCAAAAGTTGCAAACGTTAGCTAGACAAACGCTTGCCGCCCTCCACGCTCTACCCCTCACCCGCACATTCTTAACCTCGCACACACAGCACCCGACCCCATCCACATGAACTGCTTAACATACTAGTCCTTAGCCAGCGATAGTTTTGATTGGAGGTGAGTGAATGTGGATCAAGCGGAATGAGCACAAATGTGAATGTAAATATACATATATAGATATATATATATAAATATATATATATATATATAAATATATATAAGTCGATGTGTGAGTGTGTGTGCGTGTGTGCGAGAACGAGAGCAGACGAGACTGTACTTAAATATGCAAGTGCCGAGCACATCTCTATTTAAATTGATTGTTCTTTATTTTCTATATACATATGTTTTATTTTTAAACAAGTGCGGCACAGTGGTTAATTGCACATAAATACTGCTATTTATTTTGTGCAAGTACTTTTTTCAACCACTGTAGGGGGGGGCTTTAAATTAACTAGTGCTCATTAGCACTAAATTATAGGTGCAAGATATGGTTTTTTCTGTGGATACATTCAATGCTTAAAACTATCTAGATAAGATTCTTTTTTGAATAAATATACATATACACATACTTACACACTCACTCGAACTTCTACAAAGATGTGCTTTTATTACCTACATGCAGTTATTCGCTTTAGAGTGGGGGAGTAAGGATATTTAGATATACAGTATATCTATTTACATATAATATAGAGCCGTCCTATTTTTGCAAATGGTGAAACACTTCACAATAAAGAGTTCAGCATAGATCTATGAAAATCAGTTAACTCTCCTATAACCTTCTTCTGCACAGCTAATTGATAAACAAACTACTTAAATTTAAGCAATGCTCCGCTATGCGATTCTCATGCTTCCACGCTTGAGGCTTGGGCGTTGAACATCCTTGGTGAGTCAGTTAAACAGATTCACATGCATAAACGACTATAATAATCTTAATAAACACTGGCATTTTGTGTGACAAAGACAATGAACGCGGACCACTGTGCCGTTGTCAGGCCACGACTGTGGCAACAACAACGCGGTTGTTTTCACATGTGCAGCAACACACAATCAACCATCTGCTCCACTGCCCCCGCCCAATCAGCGTTTTACCATATCGTGGCAGCGCGAGCTTGGAATTCAGCTTTAGCCTTCGGAGAAAGGCAGCAGCAGGGCTCGGCAAAAAGCAGACCATCATCAGCATTATCCTTGCACACAAAACGGCCGCTGTCAATGCGACCTTTTCCAACTTTAGCAGCCCAAAGGGGCGGGAGCGATGCGCTGCCAATGGGCCGGGGACGGGGCCGGGGCCGGAGCCGGGGCAAGGGCCACATACGCCGCGTACTTCTGATGGGCATTTCTAATTTTCAAGTTTTCAAATAAGTGTATAGGTGTGTCTGTGTGTGTGCCTGTGTGTTGCGTTAATGATTAGAAAAAGCTTTGGCCGGCTCTTGCCCCGCATTGCTGTTATTGTATTTACTACCCGGCAATTATTGTGTGCAACATGCGCGTTTTAATTTAACGCAACGCGATGCGAGTCCTGCGTGTCCCGTGTATCCTGCGTGTCCTACATGTGTATGTGTAGCCATCCCTTGCCAAGCCAGCAACCTTTCCGCCATTTTCAGCTTGAACATTTGTTGCTTTTCTGCAGCAATTTTAAATGGTTTTTCACACAGCAGAGCGATCTGTGCACCGGTGCCGTTCGCTTTTCCGGTTGCCCCTTCTCCGGCGAAAAACTAAACTAAATCAAACCAGTTAAGCAAGTCCCACTCCAAAGAAATAGCTGTTCCCTGCTGCTGTGCTGAGCCCAAAACCCAAACAAGGTGCGAGCTGTAAAGCGCTGTGCGATGCGCACTGCACTGCAGCAGCGGAACGGTGGAGGGGGTCGGGCGAAGTGGGCGGCATTTAGGGCGGTTTCTGCGTGTCCGCGCGCGCACGCACATGAGGTTGGCAAGTTCCGTTCGATTCAGTTCAATGGCTTATAGGCAAATGAGCAGCTGTGCAAATGTGGAGTCCAGGCACGGTCCTTGGGCTCCAGTCCATTTGGAGCCGCTTATGCAAATGGGAAGGCTCTTTTAAAGGGCTTGGAAAAATCCGTGAGACTTCAGTCAGTTATGATAGGCCACACAGTCTCCAGACTTTACTGATCTGAATTGCGCCAAGAATCGTTGACTTTATAATTTTCATTCCATCCATTCCCGACGTTCCTGAATAAACGCTTGCCTTCTGCCATTCAACTTCCGCCCGTAGAGCTTTCAGGCGCTTCAATTTTGCGGCGTGTTTACATTTAGTGGCACGTGCCGCATAACTGCAGCAACGACAATAACGGATTAAGGCAAGTATTTAAGAGTGTCAACGACTTAAAAACATCCTGTATGAAAGAAATAGCTAAATTTCAAGCTGTAAATGATTTTCTGTAAAATATTTGTAAATTGATTTTAAAATTGACTCCTGTTTTTTTCTTTAAATCATTTCATATATTTCGCCTTACTCAGTAGATTACATAATAATAAAATATATTATATACCAAAAGATTTTCGCAGTCTTTAAGCTTGTATTGTCACATGCAACAATATTGCAAGCATGCCCACACCAGTCCACACAGCCCTTACAGTCTCAGAGTTAGCAACCCATTATTATTTAATCAATTGGTAATTGTACTGTAAACAGAATATTGTTTTTTCGTCTCCTACTAATAATTATTTGGAATGTTTTTGTCTTTAACATTTGTACTACCCTACCCTTTAGTCTTTGCTTACAGGGTATCCGAAATCAGAACATGCGCCCCAATTACAGTTGAGTGCGTAAAACGGGAGCAACATACAATTTGCACTCAATTTGCATTTGACATAAACTCAGCGAAACAGGGCTGTCACCGTTTCGATGGTTCAATGGGCACAAGCGCCGCCCACTTTTCTTGGCCCTACATTTTATTTAAAATATACATTAAACGCAATAAAAATATATTCAAAAGGGTTTTAAGCCATATAAAGTAAGTTTGGCCA